CGGGGGCCGGCAGTTGTTTCCTTGCCCGGAAAGGATTATTTGGGAAAAATCTCCAGCAGCGGCCCAGCCCCGTGCGCGGTGCTTGCTGGCCGGGCTCGATGCCGAAGTGGGCGCTGAGCGGGGCTGGACCCGGCGCCACGGCACCGGAGGTGGGCGGTGGCAGGGCGCTGGGCAGCTCTGCGAAGCCATCTGCCCAGCTTTAGCCCTCGTGGAGAGATAATTAGCGTGGCTACAACCGCGTGATTAATTCTGCCGGTGCGTGCGAGGCCCTGGCTTTAAAGCTGGTGCAAGTTCAGCGCACGAGAGTCTCGCAACTAAATTGTTAAGTGAGACTGTTAAAAAGAAAAAAGGTCACTTTTGCTCTCCGAGCCGCAGCGCTGCAAAGGGAGGTGCTCCTGGCGGGGCCGGCGCGGCGCGGGGCGCTTACCGTCCGGCCGTGCAGGCTCTGCAGGTTGGCGATGAACGGCTCGTAGTCCTTCTTGCACTTGGTGACCCTGAGGAGAGCTTTCGCCGCTTGGCACAGTAGCTCCTGCTCGGACCGCTGGTAAACACCAAGGCGACATGAAAGCGTCATTGGGACCGTGCAGCTGTTTTACATTGGTGCTACTTATCCGACTTCTTGGGCTGGACGGGAGATTTCACAGTGACTTCCTCAACTGTGATCATCTTAGCTGCCCTTCATTCAGCCTTCCTGCTCCCCGCCGTGTTACGCGACTCAGGCCCATCGCTGCGCGCAAGAACTGACGCGTGACAGCGGGTCCAGCGGGCCAAAGGCACAAGCGCTGGGAGGTTCTCGGTGACGAGAAGACTGATGAAAGCGGAAAAGACTGGAGGCAGCTAGAAGACTGCTTAGGTAGCGAGACACCAAGTCGTACTAAGCTAGTTAGATTCGATCAATTCCTGCTTAGTGACTAAGAAAAACACCTCCGTGACACGGCCTGCGTGCAATGTCAGTGAGAGCTCTAGCTATGCCCACATTTACTATAAATACCCTTTTTTTTTTTTTTTCCCCCATGTTCTCCACATCGTGTTTTACCTTTCGGTCCGTGAAGACGACCTGGGCCACCCTGGTGTCATTGCAAGGGATCTGGCGAAGCAAGACAGGCGATGAGCGTCATGACGGGCGCCCCGGCCCGAGCCCAGCCCGGATCACCCCGCGCCGTCGGCAGCCGGGGTCGTCACGGCGTGACAAACCCCCGCTCGCCGGTCGCCTCCCCCCCGAAAGCGCCCGGCCCCGTCCCGCTCCGGGGGCCGGGGCCCCCCGGG